TGTGGCTCTCCTCTGGACTCTCTCAAGCTTCTGCACATCATTCCTGAATTGTGGACCCCAGAATTGGATGCAGTACTCCAGCTGCGGACTCACCAAGGCTGAGTACAGCAGGAGGATGACTTCCTGGGTCTTGCTTGAGATGCACTGGTAGATGCAAGCCAGAGTTTTATTTGCTTTGCTAAGTGTGGTATCACATTGGTGGCTCATCTAGTGGTCAATCATGACCCCCAAGTCTCTTTTGGCCATGGTGCTAGCGAGTGTGGCACTGCCAAGCCTGTAAGTGTGATGTGGGATTCCCCTCTCCCCCCCACCCGGAGGTGGAGCATCTTGCATTTCTCTGTATCATAGATTTCATAAACATTCGGGCTGGAAGGGACCCTGGAAGATCATTGAGTCCAGCCCCCTGCCCAGGGGCAGGAAGTCAGCAGGGGTCACAGGATCCCAGCAAGATAAACATCTCCCCCACTGAGATTCAGGATGGACTCAGGAGAGACTCTGACAGGCCTAGGGTCAGGGAGGACCGAGTTAGGGAACTTCTGGAGGGGCTGGACATGTTCAAATCAGCAGGTCCAGATGCTCTCCACCCCAGGGTGCTGAGGGAATTGCAGAGGTTATCAAGGGGCCCCTGGCATGGCTTTTTGAGCACTCTTGGTGCTCTGGCCAGGTGCCAGATGACTGGAAAAGGGCTAATGTGGTCCCCATTTTCAAAAAATGGAGGAGGGAGGACCCAGGCAATTATAGGCCCATTAGTCTTACTTCAATCCTGGGGAAGCTCTTTGAGATTATCCAGGAGCACATTTGGGAAGGACCGGCAGGATGGACGATGCTCAAGGGCAACCAGCATGGGGTCATTAGGGGCAGGTCCTATCAGAACAACCTGATTGCCTTCTACAATCAAGTCACAAAATCATTGGACACAGGTGTCGTGGTGGACGTAGTTTTTCTGGACTTCAGAAAGGCCTTTGACACCATCTCCTACCCTATTCTCATTAAAAAGCTAGGCGACTGTGGCATTGATGCCTACACAGTCAGATGCGTCACAAATTGGCTGAGGGACTGCACCCAGAGAGTGATGGTGGACGGGTCATATTCGACCTGGAGGGATGTGGGCAGTGGGGGCCCCCAGGGCTCGGTCCTTGGGCCCGCACTGTTTCATCACTTTATTAGTGACTTGGATGAGGGGGTAAAAAAGCACCCTGTTCAAATTCAGTAACGACACTAAGATCTGGGGTGAGGTGGGCACACTAAAAGGGAGGGACAGGATACAGCTGGACCTGGACAGGTTACAGGGATGGGCGAATGAGAATAGGATAGGATTCAATACTGACGAGTGCAGGGTCCTGCACTTGGGCAGTAAGAAACAGCAGCATACCTATAAGCTGGGAAACTCCCTTCTTGAAAGTGCAGTGGCAGAAAGAGATCTTGGAGTCATTATCGATTCCAAAATGAACATGGGCCACCAATGTGAGGACATAGTCAGTAAGGCCAACCAGACCTTGTCATGCATCCACAGATGCATCACAAACAGGTCCAAGAAGGTGATCCTCCCCCTCTGTGTGACACTGGTCAGGCCAC